GGTGAGAGAGACAAGCTTTTGAGCTACACAGAGCTCTTCTTCAGGTCTAGGAAAGATACTCCGAGTGTCACAACTAAGGGCACATCTACACTGGCAAAGTTACAGCACCGGCAGTTATAGTGCCGCTCAAAGACTGCAGAAGGAAAACCGCTGTTGTGTGTTCACACTGACAGCTGCTGGCACAATAGCGTGTTCACACTTGCGGCACTTGCAACGCTATTAGGAGCAATGCACTCTGGGCAACTATCCCACAGAGCATCTCTTTCTCTTTTGCCGCTAAGACTTGTGGGAAGGCAGAGGGGGTTGCAGGGCATCCTGGGTCCTGTCCCAATGCCCCATGATGCATTGCTTCGCATCCCAGCAGTCTCTGTGCTTCCATCTGCATTTGGCACCATCTTTCAACAGTTTGTGTACTGCGCACCCTGCCTCTTTCGTGTTGCAGGAATGAATCCCAAACTGCTGACCAGTATGCTGCTCACTCTGACCAACACGTCATGAGTGGCAGTGGAGTTATTCCTTAAACTACAAAGGCAAGAGGAGTATGACATTGAACATGCATAGTAGCTATGACACGAGATTGCTTGTGGCATTCATGAAGGTGCTGACCACAGTGGAAAGCCACATTTGGGCTCGGGAAACAAGCACCGAGTGGTGGGATCACATTGTGATGCACGTCTGGGATGATGAGCCATGGCTGCAGAACTTTCAGATGAGGAAAGCCACATTCATGGGACTGTGTGATGAGCTCACCCCAGCCCTGCAGCGCAAGGGCATTAGAATGAGAGCTGCCCTGTCATCGGAGAAGCGTGTGGCGATTGCACTGTGGAAGCTGGCTACTCCAGACTGCTACTGATCAGTCACTAACCAGTTCGGAGTGGGAAAGTCGACCGTTGGAGTCATGTGGATGGAAGTTGCAGGGCCATTAATCGCATCCTGCTCCGAAAGACTGTGACTCTGGGCAATGTGCGTGACATTGTGGATGGCTTTGCACAAATGGGCTTTCCTAACTGCAGAGGAGCGATAGATGGCACGCACATTCCTATTCTGGCACCAGACCACCTAGCCAGCGAGTACATTAATCACAAGGCGTATTTCTCAATAGTTCTCCAGGTGCTTGTGGATCACCGTGGGCATTTCACAGACATTAACGCAGGCTGGTCCGGATAGGTACATGATGCATGCATCTTTTGGAACACAGGCCAGTTCCGTTCTGGCTACTATGTGGCTTGCCTGTGTGCAGCAATGGTCCCCCTTTCCCACCCCCATGACGGCACAGTGGCGCGGGAAAGTTACCGTTAATGGGGCAAGAAACAAAGCAGCTATGCCGAGGAACCGGCGGCAGCAGATTGCCCAGTATTTCCATGAGAGTTTTCTGGAGATCTAGATTCCCATGAAGTGAGAGAGTCTATCAACAGCCTGTTCCACCACTCAGACTAGTCATGCAGTGGAAGACAAGCCTGCTTTCTTCAATTCTCCTGCCCCCAACAACTCGCTTCAGCAATTCACAAAATCAGATTCACTTACCAGGGGCCTCCTCTCCTGTTTGCTCTTCGCCAAGATCTGACAACTGTGACTGGCTATGCTCCTCCAGGGTAGAAAAGTGCTTCTGGCTGCATGCATCTCTGGTCTCTGAGTCATCCTCTGCCTCTCGGTCCCCCTCCCCGTCTTCGTCCAAGATTTCCTCCTCCTGGCTCGGTCCACTCTCGACTGGCACGTGAGCCAACAAAGTATCCACGGGGCCTTCGAGGTGGGGGTTGCCCTTGAGTATCACGTCCAGCTCTTTGTAGAACTGGCAGCTCATGGGCGCAGCATCGGAACAGCGGTTTGCCTCTTGCGCCTTGTGGTATGCATTCCGCAGCTCCTTCACTTTTACCCTACACTGCAGTGTGTCCCGGTCCTGGCCCCTTTCTATCATGCATCGTGAAATCTGTTCGTAGGCATCATAATTCCTACAGTTGGAGCACAGCTGGGACTGCACAGCTTCCTCTCTCCAAATGCTGATGAGGTCCAGCAGCTCAGCATTGCTCCAAGCGGGGGATCGCCTGGTGCATGGAGCGGGCATGGCCACCTGGAAAAATGTGCTGAGGCCACTGCACACATCACTGAGCAAACAGGAAGGGGACTTTCAAATTTGCAAAGTAATGTACAGGGTGGGGATGATGGTTGGTCATCTGAGGGCAGGGCAGGAGAGTTCAAACCGATGACCAGAGAGGTGAGAACAGGCATTATGGGACACTTCCCGGAGGCCAATCGCAGTGCTGTAATTGGCACAGTGTCTACACTGGCACCGCAATGCTGTAGCTCCGCCACAGAAAACTGTACGCCTCTCGATGGGGTGGGGTTTTTTTAGAGCGCTACAACTGCGCAGTTTCTGCGCACTAAGTGGCTTGGCAGTGTGTACACATCAGAAGTTACAGCGCAGAAAGCTGCTTTACTGCGCAAAAACTTGCCAGTGTAGACAGGACCTAAATAGAATATTTAACATAAGTAGTTAGTATATATTCTAAAGTACCATTCAAGGTGAAGTAGCCCATTAACACCCCTGTAGTCATAGGATAAAAGGGGGTTACTCTGTTACAGATTGTTGTAATACGTCATACTCTCAGTGTCTTTATTAAGACCATGATTTTTAGTGTCTAGTAAAGTCATGAATTTAGGCTCCCAGGCTCATCTTTTGAGAGTGTTGTGTAGGTTTCCTTTGAGAATGAGGACTGATAGGTTAGATATGGCTCAATCGCTTTGTCAAAAGTGTTCAACCATGGGTGATATGGTGTGATATTGGGGTGATATTGTCTCCTGGGAAAGTCTTTCAGTCTGTCTCTGTGTTAGTGCTTCATCTATAAAATGATAGTACTTGCTTTTTGGAGCTGGTCAAAAAAATCAGGATTAAATGTTTGTGAAAATGCTGTGAATTGTGAATTTCAAAATGTTTCCACCACATCTTTAGTTGCTCAAAAAACTGGACAAAATTTCCATGAAATTGTTCACCCATTGTCATACCCAGGGTACAATCCAGACTAATGAGTAGCTGTGTCACCCCTGCTTTACTGCTGGAGCCTCCAGTCTGGACTGCTCACAAACAGCCTCCAGCTTCTAAGGCCTGGTCTACACTATGAGTTTAGGTTGAATTTAGCAGCGTTAATTCAAATTAAGCCTGGACACGTTCACACGACAAAGCTCTTTTTTCGACTTAAAGGGCCCTTTAAACCGGTTTCTTTACTCCACCTCCGACGAGGGGATTAGTGCTAAAATTGGCCTTTGTGGGTCGGAATTGGGGTAGTGTGGATGGAATTCGACATTATTGGCCTCCGGGAGCTATCCCACAGTGCTTCATTGTGACCGCTCTGGACAGCACTCTCAACTCAGATGCACTGACCAGGTAGAGAGGAATAGCCCCGCAAACTTTTGAATTTCATTTCCTGTTTGCCCAGCGAGGAGAGTACAGGTGACCACGCAGAGTTCATCAGCACAGGTAACCATGATGGAGTCCCAGGATCGCAAAAGAGCTCCAGCATGGACCGAACGGGAGGTACGGGATCTGCTCACCATATGCAGAGATGAATCAGTGCTGGCTGAACTCCATAGCAGTAAACGAAATGGCAAAATATTAGAAAAGGTCTCAAAGCCCATGAAGGACAGAGCCATAACAGGGACGCACAGCAGTGCCAGGTGAAAATTAAGGAGCTAAGGCAAGCCTACCACAAAGCCAGAGAGGCAAACGGAAGGTCTGGGGCAGAGCCACAAACATGCCGCTTCTACGTGGAGCTGCATGCAATCCTAGGGGGTGCAGCCACCACTACCCCAACCGTGTGCTATGACTCCGTCAATGGAGAAACACGCAACAGGGAAGCGGGTTCGGGGTACGAGGAAGATGAGGATGAAGATAATGTAGATAGCT